AGACGTGTGCTCTTCCGATCTCCCCAAAACCCCAAAACCCCAAAACCCCAAATATGAAGAAAAACAGAAATAAATGAGAAATTATAAATCAAATTATGAATATTTCAAAACAGTATGAGTAAGCTCTCAATAACAACATTTTCATGAAAGAGGAACAAAAGAGGTAAGCTTAGTGGGCTAATCAGAAAAAAATTTAGAAATTAAGAAAATTTCGTGAGGAGACTAATAAATGCCGAGTCCCATCTAGCTAATGAAATTCCAGATTTAAACAAAATGAATGATTCAAGGGAGAAATACTACTCAATCAAAAATAATGTTAAAAAATTTAACGATTTCGGTACAATAAATCATCTTGATCTAGAATTTCTTAGAAAGAGGAAACGAGATAAGTAAGTAAAATGCAATCTTGATAAAAAACCTAATGGAAATCTCACATGGCAAGAGGGTAAGTCATCTTAATTAGTCCTAAACTCCCATTAAGGCCTCAATACCTTAAGCTCATAAGGTTTAACAGAAAAGAGCTCAAAGTACAAAGCCAAAAAGTTTGAATGAAGCAGTAAGAAAGAAGGAAATGGAAAGAATAGCCAAGGAAAACTTTGAAATGGTCAAGAGGTTACATAAGGGGTAAATTTTAACTGCATTTTTATTAATACTATGATAATAGTACTTCTGTTATATCTAAGAGATAATAAGATGGAGATTTCAAGAATCATGTGAAGTATAGAAAAAATTTATAGAAAAATACTGGATAAGCTGTGATAAACCCATAGCAGATAGCATTTTGATGAAACTTATAAACATAGGTGGACTCAGATAAATTGTTTAAATGACATCTTAAGTGTCTGAATAGCTTAAACTTTGTATCGAAAGTTCTAATTATTAAGTTAATAATTATTAAATTTCTTTAATAAAATTAATATTAATGATGCCCTTAGGTGATCAAAGTTCCAACTACTACTAAATAAATTAAAGAGGGAGACAAGGATTATTATAATTTAAAAAGAGTACACAATGGAGGGTAAGTATAATAATTCAAACTATTTGGACCTCATACTATTTTTATCACTTTATAAAATCATGAGTATGTCTCATCAAATGCATTTAGGATAAACCAAGCAAGCTGAAAACAATCTTCATTCGAAAGATGAGCGTGATTATTAAAAGTATTCGAAATTGAAGAGAAAGTACAAGATTCTTAGAGAGGTAAATTTTTTAGATCGAACTATTTCCCAATATTTTGCATAGGAATACATGAAAGTGATGGAGAACTGGGAAGATAGCCACAAAAAGGTGAAGTCACTTTCTAAAGAAAAGAAGTAAGTCATTTCTTAAACGAGCTAGAAGTAAAACTTGGTTTTAGATTCTTAAGGGAGAAATTAGATTACTTTATATCAACCTCACATCTAAATGTATCTGATGAAATTTTGACAGCGGCAATAATGGCCAAGCATAATGATTTAGCAATAGTGAGTACTACAACTAATAGCATGGTGTAATAGGGAAAGCATAATTAAGGTGCAAACTTACCAGCATCAAACAATCACTAGAATTTGAGCAACAACGCAGGAGGATCTTCAAATCAAATTCAAAATCATCACCAATCATCAATGATACATCTTTAGTAACAATAAAAGAGAAAGAAGAAGGATCATCACAATCCAAACTATGGAGTGATGCCTTCGCACTTACCATAGCCTATTTTTGGAACTACTGATGTCAGTAAAACTCATCTTTAGCACAACAATAGTAACCAATCTTAACATGGATAAAATGCAAACTAGCAGCATATCTTTTAGTCTACAAATATTAATGCTCCCATTCAAATGTTCCAGACTTAACAGCCACCTTAGTATGCAAAGCAGATTCCATCTTACTCAGAATAGTAGCAAATTACTCAACAAACGAGAGTATTTAATACTGTCCAGCATCTACCTTAAAATCATGGTCAGAATGGTGCAAGCGTCATGCAACCACCAAAAGGAAGTAGCATAAACCATTAATAGTTTCCACCCTAAGTTCAATAACTATAACAACAAGTAATTGTGAACCAAAATGGAATGATGATGGACAGTCAACTAAATGGGATGGCTGGCAGCGTTGGATAAACTATTCAGTCATAGTACAATTCTCTATCTTTAGAAAGGTAACTATCTTGAATTATCCTCAATAGAGTAAAGCTAAAAGATAGGGTGAATTCTGCCTAATAACAAAAACTTAATGAATTTATTAATAATTTGATAAAATTTCAATAGTCAATCAATCTTAAAGTAACGTCATATGATTTTTTCCTTGCTTTAAAACCTATTTTTAAAGAATTTTTATCTCATTACATTACAATAATTAAAGAGCCATCACAAAAGAAATTTTTCTTCGCGGGGTTTTGGGGTTTTGGGGAGATCGGAAGAGCGTCGTGTA